TGTAAAATAATTATGGCATATAATTTTCTTATAGTTTTGTATCTTTATTAAAAATTTCAAGTCAAACATAATAACAGTTGCAAATTATAAAATATATTCAAAGTCAAATTGCCCAATTTATTTGTGCAACCCTTTTACAGTAATTTACTGATTGGTCTGTAAATCAGTCTGTAAAATAAACGATTCTGTGTGATCCCGACAGATTTAATAAAAAATGGATCACTATTTAAAATTTAAAATCAAATGTAGTAACGGTTCAAAAATATTAGATGTATTCAAAATTGATATGCCCAATTAATTTGTACTTCCCTTTTTCTGTAATTTACTGACCCATCTGTAACTTATGCAATAATTTTACTGACAGGTCTGTAAATTATCCAATATTTTTCAAATGATGTTTTTTTTGGACTCCATGATTCCTTTATGCATATTTGCATAGTGTAATACCCTAGTTTTTTTCCTCATAGCACAATTAAATAAGTAGAAACCCTTCTGTCTGTAAAATAAACAGTTCTGGATAATTCCGATAGATTTAATAAAAACTGGATGACTATTTAAAATTTCAAGTCAAATGTAATAACGGTTTACAAATATCAAAAAATTTAAAAAAATATCAAACTATTTAAAGTTGATATGTTTAATTTGTTTGTACAGCCCATTTTCAGCAATTTACTGACCAACCTGTATTTTATGCGATTATTTTAGTAGCCGGTCTGTAAATTATGCAATAGTTTTCAAATGATGTATTTTTTGGATTCCATGATTCCTTTAAGCATATTTGCATGGTATAATTATAACTTGACTCCAAATTTTATTCTCCAAAAATAAGAAAATAGTATGAAAACCTTCAGGCTGTAAAAGTGATGATTCTGCACAATTGCAACAGATTTACTTTAAAAAAATTTTGGTTTTCTTTTTTCTTATAGTTGTTTGATCACTGTGAAAAATTTCAATTCAAATATAATCACGATTCAAAATTTATTAAAGAGTCAGTATGACCCCGAAAATATATAAATTAGTAAAAACTCTCAGTCTGTAAAATAGGTGATTCTAGACAATCCAGACCGATTTTAAAAAAAAATTTGGAATTTTATTTTCTTATAGTTGGTGGGTTACTATGGGAAATTTCAAGTCAAAATTTTTTTTTTTTTTTTTTTTAACTATCTTCGCTTCCAACAAGGCTGCAAGCAACCACTAATTAGTGTTGGAAGTTACTGGAAGAGAAAAGATGAAGATTGTAGAGCAAGATAACGATTGACAGACGACTTTAAAGATTGCAAATTATATGAATCAGGAAAGCAAGATGAAGGAAGCGAATTCCAAAGAACTGATGTTCGAGGAAAAAAACTATTCGAATAAGAGTTTTTAGAGCACTTAGGAACAGTAACAGAAAAAGGATGAGACTTAATTGAATGCACTCTTCTTGATGTTATTTCTGATTATATTGACCAAGCCCTCATTCTTTATCCATCAGTCAATATTATTGTTGTCGGTGACTTTAATGTTCATCACACTCAATGGCTTGGCTCTAGTGTCAGTGACTCTGCACCCATTAAGCCCCACAACTTTTGCCTTTCTCAATCCCTAACTCAAATAGTCAACTTTCCAACTCGCTTTCCAGACAACCCGAATCATTTACCTTCTCTACTCGACTTATGTCTTGTTTCTGATCCTAGTCAGTGCTCAGTTTCTTCACACTCACCCTAAGGTGCGTCTGATCATGGTTTGGTCTCTCTAAAACTATTATCTCATTCTTTGTTACCATCAGAATCCCCCTATCCTCGTACATCTTACAGCTTCCTTAAAGCTGAATGGTACTCTTTCCGTCATTTACTTTGTGATGGCCCCTAGGTAGAAATCGTCTCCCTGTTGACAAATGTGCTTCTTACATAACTTCATGGATTCAGACTGGCATGGAATCCTTTATTCCCTCTAGACGATTCCAGGTCAAGCCTCACTCTTCTCCATGGTTTTCCTCACATTGTGCTGCTGCAATTGCCAATCGAAACCATTACTTCCATATCTATCAGCAAAACAATTCTCCAGAAAACAGACGTCTGTTTATTACTGCTAGGAACCATTGTAAAAAGGTTTTGTCTAACGCCAAAGCTCGCTATTCTCAGATCATGAAATCTCGTATTTCATCACAAAAATTAGACTCTCGTGACTTCTGGAGAATCTTTAATAGTATCAATAATAAGGGCAAGTCTGTAATTCCACCTCTTTTGTATGGTTCAGACTTTGTCACCTCACCTAAAGACAAAGCTGAATTGTTTGCCAAGAACTTTTCATTAATATCATCTCTTGATGCCACTAGTTGCGTTCTACCTGATCAAAGAGGTTGATCCATTGCTCAACATTCGTATCACTCCAGCTTCTGTATCTAAAGTGATTTCGTGCTTGGACTCTTCTACAGCTTGCGGCCCAGACAATATACCTGTTATAGTCTTGCAGAAGTGTTCTCCGGAGCTGTCCTCTATCCTTTCAAAACTATTTAACAAGTGCTTATCAGAGTCTTGTTTTCCAGCCTGCTGGAAAGCAGCATCTGTTATCCCTATTTTTTAAAATTCTGGAGAGCGATTTGATTCATCTAACTACCGTCCCATTAGTCTTCTTCCTATCATAAGCAAGGTTTTTGAATCTTTAATTAACATTTACTTAATCTCTCATCTTGAATCTCATAACCTACTTTCTGATCATCAATACGGATTTCGATCTTCTCGTTCTACGGCTGATTTGCTACCAGTAATAACCGATAGGTTTTATTGCGCATTAGATAAAGGTGGAGAGGTTAAGGCCATCGCTCTTGACATTTCTAAAGCGCTTGATAAAGTTTGGCATGCTGGTCTTCTCTATAAGCTTTCTTCTTACGGTGTATCTGGAAACAACTTTAAGATTATTGAATCCTTTCTTTCCAATCGTAGTATAAAAGTTGTCCTTGATGGACAGCACTCTTCTTCTTATTCTGTAACCTCAGGGGTTCCCCAAGGTTCAATCCTTGTCCCTATACTCTTTTTAATTTACATTAACGATCTTCCAGATATTCTCACATCTAAGGTGGCATTGTTCGCTGATGATACTACCATTTATTCTTGTCACGATAAGAAGCCAACTCCCTCTGATTGCTTGCAGGGGGCATCTGAGCTCGAAAAGGATCTCACTTCTGCTACAGCATGGGGCTCACAGTGGCTGGTGAACTTTAATTCAGATAAAACTCAATTTTTTTCGGCCAATCGTAATCGCAATAATTTAGACCTTCCTATATTTATGAACGGTAATGTACTCGATGAGTCTCCTACCCTTCATCTTCTAGGATTAACTCTTACTTCTGATCCTTCTTGGAAACCTTATATCAAATCCGTTGCAAAATTAGCATCTGCTAAAGTTGCTTCTCTTTATCGAGCTCGTCACTTTCTTACTTGGGATTCTATTCTCTATCTCTATAAATCTCAAATCCTGCCATGTATGGAATACTGTTGCCATATCTGGGGCGGATGTTCTAATGATGTCCTTTCTCTTTTAGACAAGGTGCAAAAACGCATTGTAAACATAGTTGACCTGCTCTTGCAGCCAACCTTCAACCTCTGTCACATCGTCGTAATGTTGCTTCTCTTTCTCTTTTCTACAAATACTATAATGGGCACTGCTCTAAAGAGCTAGCGTCTCTTGTGCCATCTACTAAAATTCATTCTCGTGTTACTTGTCATTCAATTAAGTCTCATCCTTTTTCTGTTACTGTTCTAAAGTGCTCCAAAAACTCTTATTCGTCTAGTTTTTTTCCTCAAACATCAGTTCTTTGGAATTCGCTTCCTTCATCTTGCTTTCCTGATTCATATAATTTGCAATATTTTAAGTCGCCTGTCAATCGTTATCTTGCTCTACAATCTTCATCTTTTCTCTTCCAGTAACTTCCAACACTAATTAGTGGTTGCTTGCAGCCTTGTTGGAAGCGAAGTTAATTAAAAAAAAAAAAAAAGAATGAAGAGTAACACGAGAATGAATTTTAGTAGATGGCACAAGAAATGCTAGCTCTTTCGAGCAGTGCCCATTATAGTATTTGTAGAAAAGAGAAATGTATTAACGGTTCAAAAGTTATTTAAAAGTCAGTATGACCCAAAAAATATATAAATTAGTAAAAACCCTCAGTCTATAAAGTAGACAATCCTGGTCATTCCTGACAAATTTTTAAAAAAAAATTTTGGAATTTCATTTTCTTATAGTTGGTGGGTCATTGTGGAAAATTTCAAGTCAAATGTATTAACGGTTCAAAAGTTATTCAAAAGTTAATAATACTCTCATTTTCAGTGCCATAACAAATTTTCCATACTTAAGCCCTTTTTGTATTTTTTTGACAAAAATACAAAAGGTATTTTTGTCAAAAAATCATCAATTTTTTCACTACAAAAAGCTCAATAACTTTTGATACGCTTAACTTCAAAGGCCGAATGACCCCTCATTTTTTAAGTCAAGCCAAGCTCTATATCAATTATATTTGAATATTTGAATTATAAAAAATTAGTCTGGAATGGCTACCATTAATTATACAATATGCAAACCTTAGCCAACAGCAATAGAAGTAAACACATAGATATATGTATATAGATATAGATGCATTATTGTTTGGCTTTTAAATTTCATAACTTAAGTAATTATTTTTAAAGATAAAAAAACATTTAAAATTAATTACTTTTTTTTTACCAAGAAAATATGGAGGAAATATGGATTGAATTTGATAAAATAATTTAAAAGAAATTTTAATTTTTTTTTAATTTTTTTTAATAAAAAAATTATAACTTTAAATGCAAATTTTAAAAACCAAACTTAGTATAACAAGATTTTCATATATTATGTAATAACATGATATACAATGTATTAAATGAGTTTAACATAAATAGAAATATACTTATTTTGTTTTTAAAGCTCTAAAGTTTGTTTTAAAATATCTTCTATTAAGTCAACATGGCAAGCTGATAATAACTAAGTATATATACATAGAATACCTTCTCATAAGTCAACTTGGCAAGCTGATAATTATTGATGGTTTTATAGATGCAGTCAAACAACTCGGTCTGCTCACGGCATGTGCAATTTCTGTGTGTAAAATTTATAAACAAAAGTATACATTTCCAAATATAAGTTATAAATGTTGTCATGGTTGATTTAGTTGTCACCATGATAAATAATACATAAGTTTAGTTGAGGTATTTATCCCAGTTTTTTAGATTTCTACTTTATAACAATAAAAATATGAAAAACTAAATTAATATGAAGGATACCTCACAATCTTTTTGTCTTCATCTTTATTTATATCCTTCCATAAAGAATTTAAATAAACATCTACTTCATCCATAACAACTCTAGCTTTGCTGATGTCATATCTAAAAAAGATTAATTTCATACAGTATTGTAGTCCACAAGATTTTAGAGAATTTAATATAATGACCAAAGGGTACACAAAAATACAATACTACTGCTCTTGATAAAACAGTGTGTTTTAAACAATTTTAATTGATTTTAAAAACTTGATAAAAGCAATAAAAATAAACTTAAGTTCCATTAATGTTTTGACAATCAGAAAACATTAAATATGAATTTACTTTAAACAAACTCAGCTCAATAATTAAAAAAATATTGATCATTAAATCAAGAAATATTAAAAAACAGTTAATTAAGCTAACATTGTAATAGCATTAAGCTAATAGACCAAAACAATAACCAACAAATTAAATGAGAAACTTTTCAAAACAAGATCAATAAGAATGAGATAAAAAAAAGGGTGGTCCACATAGTAAAAAAAAACAGGGTGGCTCAGTATCACATAATGAAAATTCAAAGTGTTTCCTAACCAATTTCTAGAAGCCTTAGTTATACTAATATCTTATTTTTTTACTACTTTAAAGAACAATTTACTGTGAAGGACAGTATTAATTGCTCAGTTAAAGATACTAATATGATTTGGACCAAAGTGATAATTCTGACTTAAAGTTTCTGAAGAGAACTAATTCTAGTGAAAGGGAACTGAATAAGTAATTTTGTTAATTTTGTTACAAATAAAATAAAAGGCTGTACTTCAGAAAGACAAAAAATAAAAAAACATTTTTATAAACTTTATTTTGATACATCATTCCATTCAGTAAATATAAAGATTTAATGTCAAAAAATCAAAAAATGTTGAGTAGACATATATCAGCTAAATTAAAATCTGAATAGCTGAATACTGATTGATAGATTGATTGAACCCTGAGAGGTTTTTGAGAAGAGATTGATTGTACCCTGAGAGGTTTTTGAGAAGAGATTGATTGAACCCTGAGAGGTTTTTGAGAAGAGATTGATTGAACCCTGAGAGGTTTTTGAGAAGAGATTGATTGAACCCTGAGAGGTTTTTGAGAAGAGATTGATTGAACCCTGAGAGGTTTTTGAGAAGAGATTGATTGAACCCTGAGAGGTTTTTGAGATGAGATTGATTGAACCCTGAGAAATTTTTGAGAAGAGATTGATTGAATCCTGAGAAGTTTAATCAAAGTTTAAAGTTTAAAAATAATCACGAGCTCTTTAACATTAACATGGAAAATTAGAAATCAAACAGTCAATAAGACTGCTTTTGTTGTTTTTTTATATGGTCAAAATTTTTACTTTTTTTTTTTTAATTATCTTAGTAATAGTTATTCATGACTGAACTTATATATATATATATATATATATATATATATATATATATATATATATATATATATATATATATATATATATATATATATATATATATATATATATATATATATATATATATATATATATATATAATATATATATATATATATATATATATATATATATATATATATATATATATATATAATATATATATATATATATATAATATATATATATATATATATATATATATATATATATATATATATATATATATATATATATATATATATATATATATATATATATATATATATATATATATATATATATATATATATATATATATATATATATATATATATATATATATATATATATATATATATATATATATATATATATATATATATTATATATATATATATATATATATATATATATATATATATATATATATATATATATATATATATATATATATATATATATATATATATATATATATATATATATATATATATATATATATATATATATATATATATATATATATATATATATATATATATATATATATATATATATATGTATATATATATATATATATATATCTATATATATATATATATATATATATATATATATATATATATATATATATATATATATATATATATATATATATATATATATATATACAAAAATAACTTCACAACTTGATTCTTGAATCCCTTCCTGACAAGCAATTTAAATTCATTTGGCAATTTGCTGTACAATTTTATCCCATTGCAAAAGTTATATTTTTGTCCACTTTTCTTGTTCTGATTTTTGAAGTTATAATTATTTGTATCTTTTTGTTAAATAATTGTGTACTTCATTGTTTTTTATACAAAATCCTTGAAAGACACTCATGTTCTGTAGTTGAACAGCATTGTGTATAAATGCATGGTTAACTAATTAATTATAAGCCTGTTTTTAACATCCAATCCTTCAACTTTATTGTTGTAATTAGTCTTTAATGGGTAAAAGACATGTTTATCTTTGAGCTGCATTTTGTGATTCGCGTATGAATAAATTATTACCATTGTAATTCCATTATATTTCCATTTCATAAAACAGCCATATTTTTATAGGTTAATAGCTACTCAGTTTTAAGCACATGTAAATGTTCTAAATAAATTATCCTAAAATAAAATATCCTAAATAAATTACTTTTCAATATAGTAAACTTTTATTTTTACTGCAATAACACATTTATAGTTGTTGTTATTTTTATTATTATTTTTTTTATTATTGCTATTATTATTATTACTATTATTAATATTATTATTATGATTATAATTATTATTATAATTATTATTATAAGTAAACGACAAGAAAAGATCTTTAATTATTGATTATAAAAGGCGAAAAACACAACATCAGTACTAAATTGTAATACTGTTATAATCTAGTATTCTTTTTTAACCAGTTAAACTAGTAAAAAAGATATTAATAAATGATTATAAGTTAAAAAGTTAGGCAAATAACCAAACAAATGAAAATAACAGATTCATTTTCTTTCAAATGTAAAATTTTTTTAAAGGTTTTAATGTTTGATTTTTTCATTGCTCTTTAATTACTTTACAAAGTAAATCAAATCTGCAGATTATTTTCTTGTTCATTTTTTTGAATAGCTATCATAAAAAATTTCATAATCTGAAATTCCTAAAAAATTAATCTAAAAATTTTACACCTAATTTAAATTTTGTTTATAATAACTGTCACCAATAGAAACTGGCTTAATTAGGAAATAAATAAGTTTTACTTTCTATTAATAAAGAAGTTAGAATGGGTTACAATCAATCAATCATATATATTCTGAAAATAAATTTTTAAGGTTATTTACAAATAGTATTGAAATACTAATCTCAAGTAAATACCTAAAAACATATATATACAATTAATCTTAGTAATAATAATATTAATAATAGTAATAATAATAATAATATTAATAATAACAATAATTATAAAGTAATTGTAACAATTTAAGTAAATCGGTATTATTTTCCATACAGCAATCATTTTTACATACAAAGTTACAGTTACAAACAGTAATAAACTGACAAAACGTAACAACTAACGATGACATAAAAACAACTAATGCTAAAAAAATTATAAAGATTTAGTAAATATATACTATAATTATAGTTGTTAAAATATAATAATCAAAATATATTGCAAATATTATGAATTAAGGTTGATTTCCTCCTTTTTTTTTTTTTAAATTATCATTATCACAATCTAGATCTTCCTATATTTATGAACAGTAATGTACTCAATGTGTCATCTACCTTTTGTCTTCAAAGATTAACCCTTACCCCTGATCAAATCAATAAAATCTGTCAAAAAGTTACCCTTTTATAACCACTAATTAACATTATTGTTAATTAGAGGTTATAAAAGGGTAAGGATAATATACTATTAAAAGGTGAATAATTAAAAAAGAAAAATTAGCATTAATAATAAGCTTTAGAAATTAAAAAACTGACCTAACTGTTGAAATTGAAGAAGGATAATAATCTTTTTCGATATCAATTTCATCCTCTCCGTCATCATCATTCCAAATGGTTGTTGAAACCTTCAAAACTGAATAAGGGGGTATACTGGTATTCTTACTGTCGTATTTTTCTTCATTTATTTGAAAAAGAGACTGATAAGGATGTGAATAAGAGTGTTCTTTAAATATTACTTTTAATAACACATTACGTTGTTCTTTCGATAGAAACTCTTTACTGAGAGTCTCTGGTTTTATTTGAATTACCGATTCTTTTGAAGTTACAGTAACTGAATTACATTCCATGACACATGAATGTTATTACTTTGTTTAGTTATAAACACAATTTTTTTTTTTTTTAAACTAAAATTATTGCTATATTTTTAATTTATTAGTAAAACATTAACAATTTTTACAACTAAGCTAAGTAATCGGTTTATCAACATTAAAAAAAATAATAACAAAATATTTTAATCAAGCTTAAGGAAACCGGTAAAATGCGAATGCGATCAGGAGGGGGAGATGGAGCATAGAGGCTTTGGATTATCTTAAAAGCTTACCTGACGACGACACTTAGAGAAGCCAAAAGATATCAAGATGAATATGGGTTACAATATTTTTGTTTTTGGAGGCCTTTTTATGGGCTAGAGCCTAAAAATGACTTGTTTTAAAAAAAAAAAAAAAAAAAGGTCCTCTAAATTTTTTGGGGGCCCCTAAATTTGCGGGGCCCAGGACTATAGTCCCCCCTAGCCCCCTTGATCCGGTACTGAGAAGAAGAAGAAGTAAAAAAAAAGGAAAAGAAGAAAAAGAAGGAGCAGGAGAAAAGAAAAAAAAGAAGAAGAAGAAAAAAAAAGAAAAGAAGAAAAGAAAAAGAAGAAACGTATAAGAAGAAAACAACGTGATGGTGAGACTTACCAGTCAAAACCATGCGCGTGCGAAATCATAGACGACGTCGAACGTAGAAAGAAAAAAAACATTCCATCGAGTTAATAAAACCCATTAAAACAATTCTACAGCAAGCTCTCCTAAAATCCATTTAAGATAAAATATCTTATGAAACAACTTTGCTAAATTTTTTTAGCAGTTTTTTGATACATACATTCATGATGGTTTACAACAGCTTTGAAACTAGTTTTAGACAACACCTTACGAGCATATGTTTTTAAAATTACACTCTTAATGTCGTATAAACGTTTTTTAAACGTTTTCTAAATGTTATTTACGTTAAAATGTTTAGAAGACGTTTAAAAAACATTAAGAACGTAATTTAAAAAAATATATATTTTAGAGCATTTGTGTCTTAATCTGTTTAAAATAGGGGAACCTGTTGTCAAGGCCAGCGCGATGTGGGGGTATGGGGGTGTGAGACCCCCCCCCCCCTACATCAAAGATTTTTTCGTTCATTTAGTCGGTAAACTTGACCCTTTGTGACTAGTTAGTCGGCAAATGTAGACCCTTTCGACAAGTTAGTCAGCAATTTATCAAAATATCAAAAATGTATATTTTATACTTAATACATAGATTTTAAAGTTTAAAAAAATGGTAATTAAGGCCAAGGTACAACATACCTTATGTACCTGGGCAAGTACTATTGTGTACCTAGGACATACTGAGAATTTGGAGTGAATACAAGTAAATTATTAAATTTTCTTAACCCAAATCGTTTTGTACGGTCAGTGAAATTATTTATCAAAACACCTTCGAAAATCTGAACAAAATCAAAATAATATCCAACTTTTTTTTGCTTTTTAAACAAAATCTTTAAACAAAAACATCAACGTTTAATTTCTATTTTGTCACAACACAAACTCTAAAATTAGTAGATTTGAACATATATATATATATATATATATATATATATATATATATATATATATATATATATATATATATATATATATATATATATATATATATATATATATATAATGTTATATGTTCAAATCTACTAATTTTAAAGTTTGTGATGTGATAAAATAGTAATTAAACGTTTGATGTTTTTGTTTAAAGATTTTGTTAAAAAAGCAAAAAAAAGTTGGATATTATTTTGATTTTGTTCAGATTTTCGAAGGTGTTTTGATAAATAATTTCACAGACCGAATAAAACGATTTGGGTTAAGAAAAGTTAATAATTTACTTCAATTCACACCAAATTCTCAAAGTATAGAAAATTAAATGTTTAAACAACTTTATAAATTATCATTTCTCTCTAAACCTTTTAATCAGTTATTGGCTTTTATAAGAATACTATTAATATGAAGATATATTATTCATTTAGTAGAAATCCCAGTACTTCTGTATCTCTTGAATATAATAAATTTCTCTGTGTAAATTTTTTCTATAATGTCACTTATTGAATACAGGTTCAAATCCTCTTTTTCAGGCCATTTTCAGTTTTTAAATGATTTTTTGCATTGATTTCAGTAACATACCTTATTCATATATTTATTCTACCTTTCCGACAAAATAGGAACCTTCATATAAAAATATAACATAATCTCCAATATTGTAATTTTCTCTATTAACATGTTCAATCTCTAGGTTCTCATCGTCACTGTTATTCCAGATGTGTCACTCGTTGAATAGCTGTTACAATCTTCACTAGGTTCTGGTTCAGATAGATTGTTCTTTTTATCTTTTTCGAATTATTGAGTCTTTTTTATTCATTAACCTGTTTGAAACATTTTTTTAGCCTTTAGATTTTAAATTTCTTTCTTTTCTGGTTTATCGGTCAAAATTCTGGATCTTCCTTTTTGTCTTTCTTTTCGTGTTTCTTTACGAGGTTCGGATTATGGGTAAGAGCGTATTAAACCCGGTAATATAAAAGTTGGCAATTCTCTGTGTATAACTTTGGAACCTGAAGCAGTCGGCTGACGAACAGGCACCTGATCAATTTTGGTGGGTGATTTTTCAGTAAGTGGACAATCAGAATAGGATGCGGGCATAAAATTAGCATTTATGAAGATGTTTTCATTCAAAAGATGGAAACCAGTTGAACTAAAACCTTTACAAATATTGTTTGGTGTGAAGGCAAGAGGAAAAGCTTTTCCCACCAAAACAGCAATATCATATATAGTTAATGGTTTTCCCACATGACCTGGAGACGTTAGTAACTCATTAGCCGCTGTATAAAAATAAGTCTTGAAAGGTCCAAAAACTGTCTTGTCTAATGATTGCATATGATTAATAGTATGTGGATGTAGAGTAATAACCTTTACACTATCATCTTTGGTTTTTTGTAAAGTTAGCTTCGGGCTTTCCTTAAAGACAATTTGTTTTGGCATCGCTTCCTAAATAATCGCAGCCAATAATCTCAAGCCATTTTGTTTGTATCCCAGCTCTTAGGGTACTTTTTTCCATTTGCTTTTGCAAATTGGTAAGCAAGTCTTTTACAGTCTTTTACAGTCTTTTTCACGTCTTTTAAAGTCAATCCAAATTGCAAGTGTTTTGCGTCTTTAATATAGTTCCCCAAACTTAGCCTTATAGTTCACCAAACTATGTCTTTAACATAGTCCACCAAACTTTTCAAAAACTTATTTAACTGCAAGGTTTTTGTGTAACTTGCTTACATCTTTACCTATTTTCAAAGAGTGCTTTAAACGACGACGCAAAGTTGTTCTTGGTAATCCAAAATGTTTGGAAGCACGGAAAGTGGTGAATTTTTTATCCTTAATCATTTTAATGGCATTTATCAGATCATTCACATTAATAGGCGTCCTTTTCTTCTTCTCTTTACTTCTAGGCATAATTTCTGAAATAATAAATTAAAAAAAATAAAGATATTTGATTAGGAATATATATTGCACTAGCCATATATAATATCGAAAACAACAATCTTAAAACAACAACAAATTTAATTTTCAAAAATAAAATTTACTTTTTTTTTACCTAATATTAATTTAGATTTACAAATATTTGTTTATCTTATTTTATAATAAATATGTTTGATTTACATGCACTAAATACGTTAAACCAAGAAACGTGGAGGAAAAAAAAACATGTCACAAACAATAACTCTATAAAAAATAAATTATCGTGCATTTAACAATTGTCTATTTAAAGGTCCTTACTCCAGCAAGATAACAGATATAACAAAATAATATTTAAACAGCTGACCACAAATTAAATTTACAATAACATCCATCATCAACCATGGTTTTCAAAATAAAACATCACTGTCTCTTTAAACAGTTGTATCATTGATAGTTTCTATAATTTTTTTAAAAAAATTATTTTTATAATTGTAGTACTTAATTTTATCAAGTACAACAATTATAAAAGTTATATTTATAACTAAGGTAAAATAAAAGGAACTGGTCTAAAACTTACAACGAAACCTTTTAAACAACAACCAAAAAACAATGATGCTTTGAATAGAATAAAAATTTACTGTACTTTTTAGTTTGATTAATCGTTTTTCTCAACTAATTAAATGAAAATTACAGCAATAAAAATGAGTATTAAATATTAGTATAAAATATCTAAAATATTAGTATAAAATATTATAAACATATACTTGATAAAACAAGACAGCTTATAAAACTTACTATAATCTATTAATTACTTTATTATTGTATGAATGTACTATTGTACATACATATAGTATACTAACCTGTTTGTATTTTACATTATATAATTAGAAATTTTTCAAGCAAAGATATAGATCAAACAACACTATTATATAATTTCTATTTAGTGATAATTTCTCACTTCGTACTTTTCTAGAAATTTCTAGAACGGCTAAAGTACAACACCCAAGTTGTACCTTGGCCACTGACCAAGGAACAACTTGTCGACAGTGACCGAGGTACAACACCACTCCAACTTTAACAAAACGATGAATTTTAAATAGTTTTAATGTTACTTATCTTGTAAGTTTTTTATTGTTTGGACACTTGTTGAATATAAGAATCCATAGCAAACGTTTAAAACTATTAGACTTCAAAATATATTAGAAACACTTACTTTTTTTCCGAAAAAAGGTTTTAACGTTGATTACAGAAAACACCGGGTTAATGGCGGCATGTGAAAAACTTCATATTGAAGAGTCGGTTGTGATGTACCAAATACCATAGACAGTAAAATTTAATATCGTGCGATCATTTGAAACGAGCCAATGTTCAACAGGTTCCCCTTTAGCACAATAACAAAAAACTAGAAATAACACAAAAGTGTTATAAGTGTAGCGCTGTAAAATTTTAAAATACTCAAAACACAATTTAGATTTTTTTCATGTTGATGATTACATTATAAAAATATATTATTGAACATTTTACAAAACATTTTAAATTAATAATTTAATGGACTTTGAGTTAGATAACAAAAATAGTTAAACTTATTTATTATTTAACTAATTAATATAAATAGACTTGGATGTATTTATGCTTACATTAAATGAGAATGCTTTGCAAAAATTGCACTGATTGTAGCCTAGGAACAACAAAAGCCCAATACTTGT